AAAAAGTATTTTATAGAATATATACATCCATATAGGACATCCAAATTTAAATATACACTTGTGATAGTCTTTGTGTGTTACTTTGCATAATGCTATTAATTTTGTACTGATAATTTCGAAAGTTTCGGTTTACTTGTGAACCTAAAGATACAACGGAGATGCTTTTTGAATACTTTGTGCTGTATGCAACCTCACTCAAGTAGATGGCGCGGCAAGTGTCACTCAGAAAATTAATAAAATGAAACTGTACTTCTTTAATAGTATCCTAACTAAAGTTATTTTAAACATATTATGTGTATTATTGCTAAGTAATTTATGTATATAATTATATCGCGTAATTTGTAAACTGTGTAGGTATGGAACCACCATATCTTGTTTATCGGAAAATCTAATACGCATCTAAGGATTTCCTTGCTTGCAACTAATTAATAGATTGGATTAGTTTGCGAGCATAACGTAGCCTGAATCATAACAACAACACGGTATGATTGGTTGGTATTATACCGTAACTTTGTACAGAGTGTCCCTTTTACTATGGGATTACAACGTTATCTAGGAACATCTTAAAAATATCAAAAAACTTACACACAAAAGTTGTTTGGATTCATTTATATACAGGGTGTATCGATTTTTTCGACTGAAAGCCTTTCTTGTATATTTCGGGTTGTTTGACCTATAGAGATCTGTGTTAATATTTTAAAAACAAATAAAAATAGACCAAAAAGAAATATTATTTCGAATAAATGTCTAAAACCACCCATACCAGATATATTAGTAATAAAAAGGTCTACAGAAAGGTCTGTATTTTGGTTTGCTGTAAATTTTGAAATGAATGGGTGACGATTTTGTGATACCCAAATAATGAAGAGGATATTAGTAGTAAATAATGGAATATGTTTAACCATTCGCCTTGTTATTATTTAAACCTGTTTAAAAATGGCAAGGGATTAAACTTAGAAATGTTTAATAATGGTTGATTTCATTAAAAGGCAAAACCCAAACAGAATGGGCAAAATTAATGTACACAATATTAATTACAAAAAATAAGGCAGCAAAAAAACTGTAATATCTATTACGCCAGCTCTGACCCTAATATTATATCTCATTATCCGCCGAAGACTTCTTATCAACACTCTAATGCACTCTAAGCTCATTCTTCACTTAAAAGGTTTTCCCGCTCATCGAGGTTTTCTGGAGCAATATGCTCCATTCTAGGTAGTTCCAAACATGTTCGATTGGGTTTAAGTCTGGACTCGCTGCTGGCTAATCTAAAATCGGACTGCCAACATCTTGAAAGTATTCTATCGTGATTCTAGCAACATGTGGGCGAGTGTTATCTTGCATAAGGGCGAAATTATCGGTAATAAGTAAGTTATAAGTTAATAAAGTTTTTAACAAAAATAAATAATTAAAGGTTATAGATTAACTAAACAAGGCAACAAATTTGAATAAGTAGATCTATAAAACAAAAAAAAAGAACAGAAACAAATAAATTGAAAAAAATAAATATGGTGCCATTATAATATATTTTTAATTTATTGTCTTTAAAAGAAGTAGTATCATGTATTTGCTATTTAAAAAATACCTAATATTGCCAACATGTGACAGCCTTAAATTTAACAGGAATTTCTAAGGGTGTTATCTTAAACCTCGAATACCCCAAAAAGTAAGTAAAATTTAAATACAATATAAATTACAAACTTATATTTTTTGTCCTGCAATTGATATCTGAATAAAAATAGAGTGTGTTGCATTTGAAAATTTTGAGATTTTGTTAATTGAATTCACCAAAACGGCACCACCTATTTGGGACACCCCGTAGATGCTGAGCCGCATCTGTCAAACTGATTGAGTAGCGTATCATCTCCTTAGTCTGTGGTTAAATTTTCGTTGCAATATCTGAATCAGTAGCGTCCCAACACAATTTTATATGGGCAAATCAATTATGGCCTAAACTACGCTAAATTTGAATAGTAATTTCTTAATAAAGTGACGTTTATTTTAACTTAGGATTCCATTAAAAAAAAACGAAGTTGATGTCGCTGGGGAGGGGGAAATTTTTGGGACACCCTGTATCAACAAAATTATAACATTTTAAATATTCAAGAGAGTCCAAAAAACTTTTGTACGAAATTTTTTTTCGTATTTCTTATGGGTTTCCAGATCGTATGGTTCGTTTTATTTTGCACACGATGTACAACGAAAACGATGAAAATTAATATTATCTTGCTGTTTACTGTTTTTTTTTTCTCCTAAACAAAAAAGCTGCATATTTAGGATAGAAGGTGAATTTTCACTGCTAAAAAATATCCTTAGTTCAAACCCTTTTTCAAGTTTTTAAAATGATGGGGTACTTTTTGTGACTATATGATTTCCTCATAACACTCCTTCCACTTTTAAATTATTCCATTATCGGTTTGAAACAGTGTTTTCTTGAGAGAAAACACATATGGCGACCATCTGGTACATTGGGAGGCCCCGACAATTGCATCTTTAAGGTCTGATTAAATTCCTACATCTAAACCAGACGCAGCAATTCATGCGATTCTTCGTTTGGGTGTAAAATTCACGCCCCAAATAATCGACCAACGGTTTTCGACTTCTAGTTTGCGAACTATCGACAATTCAATCAATTAAGTCCATTCACCGCCTCTTCAATCTGTTTGGGGCCACTGGCTTACCAGGTTACGTTAGAGATGCCCGTTTCGCCCAAAACTATTAATTATACGGAACCGGGTGTAGCAGAGGCGTAACCGTCAGAAACTGATAGTTGCAGTCGAAAATTAGGAAAAGTTTTCTGCACTTCGCACACTGGTTCAGATGGAGAGAAAACCTTAAAATAGGATTTTTGTAAAGCAAAGTTGACTCCGTTTTTTATTGAGGATGTCTCTAAATATCTATTTAACAAAAATTTTGACTTTTCAATAATTAAATACTCAATTGTTTGTCCGCAGATATTTCTTGCCACGATATCATGGTGTTTGGTAGTGACTTCAACGTTGACTTTAGTTTAAATCATCATCATCAACAAATTGTCACTGAACCTACGTGTGTCACTGAAAACACTAGCACTCTTCTTGGTATTCTTGCGACGTCTTCTCTGGATTTATTTTTATACGCCTTTTATGTTCGTTAATGCGGTTCTTAAATGTTCTACTTGTTTGACCGATATAAATTTTGGGATGAGATCCACATTTCAACTTGTAGACTCCGGATTTTTGAGTTTAATATAATACCAAATTTATTTTATTATTATTCTACTGTTTTATAAATTTTTGTTTTCGGTGTTTTATGTGGGATGGATAGAGTTCAGAGTTATTTGAAACTGCGTTTTAGTTATAATACTATCGATCAAAGAGCCATTGTCAAAAGCTATTTGTTTTACAATATTAATTCATTTTCAAAATTTTCTATTGAAAGTGGTACATTAAGTATATGTTGATAAAAGCATAAAAGGCAGATATTTAGTGTATGTAAGGATGATTTATATCGGACAAACAGGTAGAACATTCAAGAATCGCATTAACGAACATAAAAGGGCGTATAAAAATAAAAGTTCGGATTCTAACTCTTCCATTCATTTAAATTCAGAAATGCACAACTTCGACGATAATTCTGATATTTATATTTATATGAATGAGGTATTCGAATTTAATACTTAATGACCAATTGGATTTAAATGCGTCCCCGTTGTTAAATTCAAATTTAAAACCCTATACCTGTAATTAAAAATCTATTACTACCTGTTTTCATATATAAGTGTCGGACTATAGTCATATTTTGTATTTGATAAAGGCACGGTGTTACCGAAACAACTGTCATAAAGTATTCAAAACTGTGAACATCTGAACATTTTTTGTTCTAATTTAAATTTGTGTTAAATGGATTTTCATGAAGTAAAAGCCACCTCAGTTCAATGCATACAAGCAAATAAAAGTTAGTAACTATGACCCCAAGAAATGAAAAGAAAGCTTATCTCCAGCATTAGCTTAAAATCGACTTTGGTGGATTTTGGCGCGCTTTAAACTTAATATCAACGGTTCTCCTAAGAGTCAGCCCGAAAAAGTAAGCATTGCTAACGATACTTGCACAAGTACGCTGAGAGGGGAGGTCTTTTGTCCATAGATAAAGACAAATGGATTGATTGACAAATGATAAAGTATGTAACTGCTCATTTGCTAGGAAATATAACCTTTTTGGTCATCAGCTGCATAATTTCTAATAAGTTTCCTTACATCTGGCAGGGCATGAAGTGACACCCAATTCTATTACCAGTGGTTTTAAAAATAAATTACGGAAAAAATAATGTATGAAGAGCGTTATGAATATGTTATGTTGAAAATTTATTCCGGAATATCATCCGTTCGATTGTTGAACTCCGACTGGAATCCTACAGATGTTTCGAAAAGATCTCACTTGGCATCTTCAATGCTTGCGCTCCGAAAACACCTCGAGCAAAGTGTGAAGTGACTAACGTTTCTACCACAGACTTCTTGCAGTTGATTTCTTCTTGTCTATACTGATGTTAAATGGCGATGCCGTAAAGTTATAACTATAATAGAGATCTGCCATCAACAGCATTAGTTTCATCTTCTGCCACAGCCAATCCTGCGTGTATGTCTACCAGTTTACCGAAAACTTTCAACTACCCTTTTGCTGGTAGAGTGATGAAGGATTTTTGCGATATATACATAACTATGCCCGTCTTCAACAGGTAAAAAAAAATCTTTTAAAGTAGAGACATGCATATTTTATTTTTAAAATTAAAAATCATGAATCATTAAGCAATTAACCCCGTAAACGGCAACATTCGTCGCCAAATCTGCCCAATAACACAAAAGTTGTGATTCCTCAAATTGTACCTAACATTTCACTGTTGCTTTTTCTTGCACCTGAGTGTACTTTTTAATCTTTAATATAATAAACCCACCCAAGCTCGATGGGTATTCCCACATTTCGTGCCAGTGTTGTCGCCTAATTGCGTTAGTTCATACACTTACCGATAAAAAACCAAGTATAGGACTTTCCATACAGATTTTGTTTGTATAGCTCGCAGAGCACTCGTCTAGCCGCCACAACGTAAAAGAGTCCCACGATGACTCGAGCGTCTTGCCGTCGTAAATTTCGGACAGCGTCGCTTGGGTCCGACAAGAACGATTGCCTGAAAACAAGCAAAACACGAATATAACACCAAGTGGATAAAAGCGTTCAAACAAATTGATTGATCTTTATTTCTCGAGATGACACGTTCGCATGTCAAACGGTATCGGGTAATATCCGCTTGATAGAGGATTGCTTAAATATGCAAACACACTTAGAGCGAATTGATCTCTGTCGAAAACATAATGTAAAAATGTGAATGTGAGTCCCACACTTTAAAAACACAAGCAGCATCCGGTGGGGATTTTAGGTATATTTGAATAATCAAAAGCTTTTACGAAGTGAAAATTAAAGCCTAGGATATTACTGAAGCTGCTCTTCTCTTGTCCTCTCTCCTCTATTTTCTCTCCCTTGCAGATCATCAACCTACTGGCCTACACAGAAGATGTGGTCTTGTTAGCTGAATTAGAGAAAGTAAAGTTATGTGCTTTAGTAACTCCACTTTGGCAACCCAGCGAAAACTCTTCTTGGGTGATTCAAGTCTTGATGTGGTCGAGGGGTTTAATTACCTTGGTGTGATATTCTTTTCTCCCTCTTTGTTTAGAGCACTGCCTATTCTGGGAAAAGGAACTCTCCTCTTATCAAATATTTTATTCCGGATGTCTTCCAGTCTGGGACATACGTTATGCCAAGTTATATTAAGCGAATATATCAACAATGCAATGAGTCCACAATACAAGAATTTTTACTCAAGTTTTGCACCCTCTGATCTACCACCCAGCTAGTTAAAATGTTAATCGCCAATGTCCATTTTAAGAATCATTACTTCACTAAACAAGATCAATTTGAAACAATTTCACACCTATTCACTTACCATTGATTCTCTTGTAGTTTTCCAATAACTTATCACCGCTTAATGAAATTAAATTGTAAGAAAAGAAAAGATGTTCATGTTGACAGATTTTTCCCGATTTGTTTACTATTGTGTTTTTTAGGTTTTTTGTAATTTCTGATGCTGATTTCTTGTTGTAGAATCGAATTGAATTGGAATTACTAAGCGAGATCTTCTATTTTTGGACTTTTTGCGGTTTCTCCTCTTTTACACCGCGACCAACGAAACAACTCTTTGCTTTTCAATGCGTCCATATTGTTCAATTGCATTAAGTCTATAGGTCAACTATGTGCTGGTAATGCCAAGCAACTTGCACTAACTTTTGGTGGAGTGTCGTACTTGGTGGAGCTCAATGAAATTTGCATAATCCAGAATTGTCCAAAATCAGAGCACCATATTTTTCTCCTCTTAACATAAAATTATATATAATTTTAATACTTTTGTCTATCACTTGGATCAGATTCCCTAAAATAATTTGAAACCAATAATCCATTTTGTAATAAACGTAATTCGATTATAATTGTCCTTGATGTCGCCAACATCACTAAAGGTATTTTCATCTATTTCAGGTTTCGGAAAAATGGTGGTATCTTCTTCTAGGTGGACTGGATTCTAAGGTAATGGCAAATTTGGGCTATGTGGAACTCGCCTTATTCCAGTCTTGAGCTTCGGATAAACAATGTTTACACGATAAACGGCCTTATTGGGAATCCCAGAAATTATATTTTACTATTCCCAGGTAATACTGTGATAATTTATTCAAAATGTGTGTCAGTGGGGTAGCAATTTCAGTTTTTAGAATGTCATGTAATGTTCCTATTTTTAAAACAATAGAAAAATGTTTCGTGTTAGAAACAAAACATCGTTTTTCTGTTATTTTAGTCCCTAGAATCCAAAAATATCAAAAATACCAAATTACATAATTTTTGTTGCGCTGTGTAATCCTTGTTATTGTTTATTGATATAAGAAAACCAGCCTTGCTTCTCTTTTTCTTTTGCTTTTCTTCTTCTTTCTGGATATTCTTATAATGGAAATTTATTGTATCTTGTTGCTGACATTGCTGTAATATTAAGTCTATGTGTTATAATTTATTATTCTATTTATACTTAATTTTTATAAATGCCATTGTTTGCATCGTTTCTTGGTGCAGGTGCTCTACAAATATTGTTTCTTTCCTTTTTTATTATTTAAGTAATGTAACATCGAGGCTCTTTGCTATGAGTATACTGAATGTATTACTTTTTAAGGTCAAAGAGTTTACAGAAAACCTACGCACACAGACCGATACCTTAATGCAGGGTCACATCAACATCCGGCCCAAAAATCATCGGTTATCAACTCTCTTATTTACTAACCAAAACTATCTCAGCCCGAGTCACTGAAAACGGAATTAAAACACCTTACCTCTGCTCTCCTCTCTAATAATTTCCACATTAAAGATATTAAGCGTTCCATCAAAAAATACACTTCACCACAACCTTCCAATAGTAATCCTACACTTGCCACTGTAGTCCTTCTTTACATTCAAAACATTACTGACCATATATCAAAAGTTCTAAAGAAGTACAACATCAAAACCAGATTTACCACTTGTCCAAAAATCTCTCAATATCTTCGGTCCGTCAAAGACAAAATTCCATTTGAGATGCCAGAAGTTTACTGTTTAGAAAAATATCAACTAGGCTCAAAGAACACGAAAGAGCCTTACAACTAAGACAAATAAACTCACCAGCTATTCCCGAACACACTCATGAGACCGGACATAAAATTTTATTCGATAAAATTAAAATTCTTACACGTAATCAGTTCTTCTACCAACGAAAAATCCGAGAGTCTATAGAAATCTATAAACAACCTAACAATCTTAACTGCGATACAGGTCGCTATCTGTCACCAATATGAAGGAGACTTAAGACTAGGACAAATAAATTCATTAGCAGTTTCATGAAACTGAATATCAAATCTTATTCGATAAAACTAGAATCCGTGAATGCAATCAATTCTTCTACCAATGAGAATCTATAGGAATCTATAAGCAACCAAAGGATCTTAACAGCGAGACAACGTTCATGCCCTTTCTTTAGCTCCGCGCCCTTTAAACAATATATAAGCAGGTACAGAGTAAAATACGAGCCAGTTTTAGTCAAGCTCTGAAGAAGTCAACGAGGTGATTGACGAAACGCCAGCAATTTCGACTCAGCAAAAACCGACGCAGGAGGAATCCAGAAGTTTTGTAAGAAGTACATTTTCTCACTATTCATATTATTACTTTACCATCTACTTTCGTATACAATAGCCTAATCGAGATTAACTCTGATAAATCAGGTTTTTCTGTTGAGTTTGACACTCATTACTACATAATGCGTAATGCCCATCAGCTAATGATTTTCCTACTTAATACATCAATTAGAAATTCTTTAAAATTGAACCCCTACAATAAATTACCTTGTATGAAATAAAGAGACATTACCGAAAGAACTTTCAATGGGAATTCAATCTCTGATTCAGAAATGTTCTGTAAGATAGAATGACGTGTACACATGAAACTAACTAGATATAAACCAGATATTAAATTTTTATAATCCTGTGCATACCAACAAAAATCACATTAAAAACAATTGAATCGTGGAAATGTCAGATAATAAGGAGATAATCAAGAAAAAGTGTTTAAATCTACTACTATGGCTATAATTAACAAATTACATTGGAATTTGGAATTTGATTTCATTTGAGCCGGGCGCTCAGCTTGTTGCGCCATTGTGCCCGGGCCCTGTGAAGCACAATTCGTGAGTTAGGAGGGAATGTAGAGGAGACCGACGGCCGAGGCATAGCGAATCAGCCTTCCAACACCCACTTCCAGAATATTTTCCTGTGTCCACTCCAAGAATTTTCTTAGTGGTCCACAGTCGATAAGTACATGCAGAGGAGTTTCATCCGCTGCGTTGCATCTTGGACATAATACATCTTGTATGATGCCAATGTTCGTAAGATGCTTTCTTGTTGACCTGTGTCCAATTATCAGCCTAATAGTCAGCCTCAGCTGATTCCGATAAGGCTGGAAGCAAGAGTTCTGGACGGCCCCCGAAATAGGGCTTTAGTGTGTCTCATTCCTTCAGCTTCAAGCCGCAATCTATTGCTAGATCTCTGGTCGAATAGACTTTTAATGAAGCGGTCGGGTACTGGGGTAGGACAGATAGGTAGTGTACTTGTGTGACCAGCTCCACTTTTTGCTAGCCTATCTGTCCTCTCGTTCCATGGGATTTCAATTACATTACAAAATTACAAAATGTTAATATATCAAAAAATGGCACATACTCCTTTTGACATTTCCGCTCTTTAATTATTTTTAAAATGGATTTTGTTTCTATTTGTAAAACATTGATTAGTTAAAAGATGATTTAAGAATTGCTTGTATTGGTATATTTAATTATACTTAGGTATAGTTTCTTTGTGGTACTCTCATCAAAAAAGGTTCGCCATTCCGAGCGACATCTACGTCTGGACACACCCACAAAAACCTGATTTTTAAAATAGAATCGTTCGATATTTTGGCCCTTAATTATTTGTTTCTGGAGGCGGCAAAAAAGGTCGATAATAATAATAACGATAATACACAGACACAAATTCTAATCTAGCCGCGATAAAATGACACCTCTTGAAAAATCAACTGACGTCGTAGAATGCCATAAGTCGACCACATAAATCTAAAATAAAGGAGAAAAATAGCAGAGCAAACGGCTCTTTCTCGTCGCGTTGAAAATATCTGGGGTACAGAAAATAAAGGCGTCGCATCGCAGGCAAAAATAACAATAACAGTCCCAGGAAAAGTCGCTTTACGAAACAGCTGAAAGATTAATGGATGAAAAACAACCGGTCGTCGCTCATAAACGGTTTTATCGATGTCAAACAGATTAACGTTAATACAAAAGCAATCACGACTCTAATAAGATCTACCGATCGATCGTCAAGGTTATTTTTGTCCAATGTTTGTTGTGATTTACGTTTCTCCTAGATCTAAAGAGACCATTTATTTTTTAACTCAAAACGGGACAAAAAAATTTAAGCTTCAGGTTAAACGTCTGGCGGGAAATTCAAATTTTAAACAGTATTTTTTTTTAATTGTAGCCAAATTAGGCAAAACTAAGATAGGGTTTTTGATTTCGCGGCA